GATTACCGTTATGCTGCTCAGACGACGAGTGTTCAGCTCCTTCACCAATCGCCTCATCCTGCACCAGTCCGTCATTGACGCTGTGGCTTGAGTCATAATTTTCCTGCACCGTGTCATTATCAGGAGTCAGGGCATTTTGGTGTCCGGCGAGGGCAGCGTGTGTGATCGATTTCTCTGCAGCTTTGTGTTTTCAGATTTTGTGCTTGGGTGTGTGTACGTGACATCCGCGTACAACCTCGTTTTCATATCGCTGGAGCGGTGAAGCATCGTAGCATGTGCTCCACCACCAAGTTGAAGATAGCCGTGCTAACCGCCTGGGTAATAGACTGTGCTGAGAGCGTGCCTTTGCTGTTTGCTAATGAACCACACGGGGATCACTGTCAGCTGAGGACCCTTCCGCCTGTTTGGTTTTACTTATTATGCGCAATACCAATTGCACTCGAGTTCTTGCTTCCCGATGCCATCATGTCAGTGGCATGAACCGCGTCCATAACCACGAGCCTGCCTTAATGTTGAGGCCGATCTAAAAACCCAACAATCGAATTTGAAGTCACGAAACATTTAGAGCGAAATTCACGAAAGTTGAAATGTGTTCAACTCTTGCAAATTGTCGCGCAGCGCAAATATTTTGATCTGAGGTCACGGTTATTTCGCGTTTGTGTTTGCTGCTGCCCCAATTCTGCACCGTCTTTGCACGGATGAAGTTTGTTAATAGGCCAAGCGTCCTTGAATTTTCAAGTGCTAACCTGTAAGAAAATGATTAGCTGATTTTGTCCTGTTTGTAGTAGGACCTTGTCAGATAAGACATCGATTGGACAAAAAACTATCAAATATAAATGCACCAAATTTCAACACGAGCGAATTTTTTGGCGGAAATCGTTCATCATTCACATTCGCCTATATGAACTGGCTTTAATAGTGATTGTGAATTATGTCAGTGTTTTCGATATTACAATGTAGCGTTGATTAAACTGTGCGGTTCGCTCGATTAGGTTAAATGTCTACTATCTTTAACAGGACCCATGTTCTCTGTTAATTAATGCACTTGCCTATATCGGAGGCGCATCCAAGGGCGGAAGGCTTCGGCGTTCCCCCTCCAAACTTGCCATGTTTCTGAAAACATGCAACATGCTGGAGCATCCTGAGCTCTCACGAAGGGGGTAAATATAGTCCAAGCCTCCCCCCACGGGTTGCACTGTTTCTCCTCACCTCCTGCCATAAAATGTATTAAGAGTTTTGAGAACTGTACCCCCTTCTAAAGGGCTGATTTATATGTTCGAATAATCAGCGGCATAGACGGAACACAGAGCTATATATCAGGACGGCGGTGGTTTTTCAGCAATTTGAGGTGATGACACCCCGTTTGTTCTTGCATAGAGAGTCAACAAAACATTACTATATTGAACTGTTTAAAAATGATTTGGAGGGGGGGGTGAAAACCTGATCACTACAGATGACCCCTTAATTCGTTGCTGTTAATTTCAGCGAACATCCCTTTGATCTTGCAGTCACTATGATACCACTGTGTATTTTCTGATGTTTGATAGATATCAGAAGATTAGCCATTTAATGTATATTGTTTGAAATAATCTTGTCAACTCCTTAAGTTTGTTTTTTTAATTGCAGAATATTATAAAAGCTGAGAATGTAATGTAAATTCAAAACGCGAAAAAGGAATCGTATTAAGCAAGTTGTTCTATAGTTCTGTAGAAGGGGAATTCGATATTCCTAAATGACGAGGAGGACCGTAGAGGGGGAAGTACTCAAATTATAGACGGGTTTGCGAAGAAGCGGGGTCCAGATTTGATCGCACAAGATCGATCATGCCTTGGTGGCTTTACAGACTGCAGAGCGAATCGCGCATGCCGAGACAGTAAATCTTAACGAGTAAATCGGTAAGTGCTGTTAATGAGTGAAGGAGGAATGACTCTAAGTGATTCGAAAGGTACGTGACTCGGTGTCCTTTTTTGCGATTAAATTCAAAGAAAAAGTTTATCAATGAAACCTGCAATAAAAGACGTAAAGTGAGTACCCAACGCCATGCACTAAAACGCAGACCGTAAAAATGCTTTGAAAAATCATTGGTATCGTGTTACTTTTTATTGTTTACAATTGAAACTGATTCCCCTTGCTTAAAGGATTTTATTTGACAAGAATGTTTAATTAAAAGTACAAATGCAAATTATGTCAACATGCTGAAAGTTTATTTAGTCAACAAAATCCACCGCATTCCTGTCTTTGAAAACAACTAATACAATCTTCCACTCCATCCAATGTGCATCTACTGACTAACTTTAATACCAAAAGAACTTTAGCAGTATACTCAAAGTGGAACTACATATTTTGACACAAACAGCGTGCTTGCATGGGTGTCGCGGGAGGGCAATGAACTGCTTCCTCCCCGGCAAATGAAAAAGAACGAAACGAAAGCGAAAAAATACAAACGAGATAAAAATCAACTATTGCTGGAAGATACCTGCGAACTGATCCCTTCCACCGTTTATGGTTTTATCAGTCTGCAATCGATTAGCACTTCCCCAACCCAAAAAATCCTGCCTCCGGAAAAACATTCATGACTACGTGATATAGGAAAACAAATAGAAAACTTCTAGTCTATGTGAAACTCTTGCTGAAGTGGAGTCAGGTTTGTCACTGCAGACCAGGTTCGATTCCCGGCTGGGTCCACATGTGGACTGATTTTTTTCTTCAGTCCCTACTTGATTCCGTGGGTTTGACCAAGAAATTTCTTCCCTGGAGTTTTCCTCCCACCTCTAAAACTGTAACTGCTTCTTACTCTCTCTTCTCCACAGATGTGGGCAAATGTGGGTCTTTTAGCGGCTGCCTGAGGCGTTCTTGTGTGCCATTGGCTGGCACCCGTTTAATATATCGTTATTGTACAGTGCATTTGAACATTACTGCATGAAATTTGCGCTTTAAAAATGAATAAATAGTTATTATCATTAAACCCTGTGTTGTTAAATACCTTTAGTATTTGTAAGATCAGAAAAGGATTTTTGATCATTCATATAGATGTAAGTGGTAAGGAATTTATAGCTGAAGCTTACAAATGAATCTGAATTCACGCAAGTACATGTACATGCAACACATAAAGCACTTATCAAATTAACAAACAGCTTCAAAGCCAGTGCAATGTTGCACTTTTGTTTATATGTCTGCCGTCCGTCGATTACTTTTGATCAGTTGAAGTCTCGACAGGAGCACCAGCTAGCGCTGATTCCATCAGCTTATTCATCTCCTGCAGGTAGCTCAAGAAGCTTGCGACACCTTCCGCTTGCGCGTCTGGTTCAGTGTCCAGTGACGAGGTAGCATCTCCTTGGGTGTCCAGGCCATCAGGTGCCGCAGCAGTCTCGCTGGTGTCATCTAATACAGGTGCGTCGTTGAGGAACGCGGCATCCTGCAGCAGGTCAGCCTTTCGAGATTCTTGGCAACTGTCAGACTTGGCACCATCAAACTCTATTTGGGTGAGAAACAGTGCGTTGAAGAGATAAACATAATGTGTTTAACAATGCGGAATTACAAGATGCCGTTGAGTGTGACAACCTACGGGGTCTGTCTATTACGGCCAGCATTTTCTCCTTAATCAACCCATTTCTAAAGACTGCCATTTGTACCACGTTTTCAACTCATCGAATTCATTTTTTTCCCGTTTTGTGAAAGTTTTAAATTTCACAGTCTTCAATTAGAACACTAGCTATTATATATTTCGATGCCGTCGCCGGCTTTTGTCTCATTAAAAAAGAAACAAAAAAATTACGGATGTTTTGCTCTGCATCGACGTGTATCTGTAACCCGAGTAGGCTTATGGGTATTTCTCACAAGCCCTCGAATAGAAATTAGACTAGAGTACTTATGTATAAGTACAATCAGTGCAGGGCAAAATAAAGTGACATCTCCTAAACTCAAAATACATCTTGAAAAATAAATCAACAAAATAGTGAAATCCATCTGGTCAGTTTTACCTCCAGACTTCCTTTTGGCCGTTTCCAAGTGGCATTCACAGAGGGACTTAGGTAGAGCCTGTGTGGAAATCGGTCCCGCCATTCCATCTATATCTGGACCCCTATGACCATGAACTTGGGGTGAAAGCGGCGGTGGGTTGTCCTCCTGCTCTGCAATGTAAAGCCGTCCTCTTGGTGTGTCGATGCTGCATACGGACTCCATCGACCCGTAGTGATCGGCTCTCTTCAACTCTGGGATACCAGTGCAGTTTTCATTCAGAGCGTTCGAGACCTGACCTACAGACGCACTGTTGTTTTCATTTTCTGCCACCAGGACAGCGGTCCTGCTTGTTGCGGGCACACATCTGTTCCTGGAAGTGGAAGCGACTCGCGCATGTGCTGGCTTTGGTTCTCTCGTGGTCAGAACACCCATGGTGGGTGTAATAGGCTTGATGATTACAGGGTTGTGATTGAGAGGTAGCATTTGTACAGGCGGTTTTGAACGGTGGGGAGCACATGGACCTAGTCCCGAGGACTGTGCTTTCAATCTCACGGAAGTAGGTGCTACTGGGGCTGTCAATTGGGATTCTAGGAAAGAAGGTCTGTGTGTTCGAACTTCGCCGTTGAGAATCGTCACAGCTACTGGAAATGTCGGCCATGTCTTTCCGTTTAGCACTACGACTTTCTTCGCTGGAGATTGAGAGATCTCGCAGGGCTTTTCCTCTAACCCCATCGCCGACACCAAACTGGCCATTCTTCCCAGCACGTTCTGGTTGTAGTCCCCCATGGAGAGCTGCAGCTCTCCCCTGCCGTCGATACACCCGTAAAGCGGGGGGAGCCTCGGGTCAGCCGCCAACGCAAGCGGTCGGAGCTCCACCTGACTCGACCCGTCAGCGTGCTGGCTGGCCTTTAACACGCTGGCAACACCGAGCACGAAATGCACGGTGCGGTATGCCTGGTGCCCGGCTCCTGAGGGAGTCATTTCCTCCGAGACCTTGGTGGGCCTACGACGACACGAACTTCCTAAACCGCGGCTTGCTCGTTGATTAGCCTGGTGGCTTCCCCTTATGTCTAACGGCTGGACTTCACAACTTTTGACCCTGCCGATTTGGGTTGCACTTTCCTGACGTTGCTCCGCGATGGACAACACACCGCCGTCCGCCACTCTGACTGAGAGGGTAACGAAGGATTCCTGTGGATTCCCGGACACACTCATCTCGTTCTCTGTCCTCAATCGTTTGGTCGTCAGTTTTCTGTGTTTAAAGACGTCTGCTCTTCCATCAGTTGACGCTGCCGTTTGAGACAGATACCTTCACCCGACACACTCGTCGCTAAGGGCCGGTCGAACTGCTGGCTTTGTGTAGAGGCAGTTGACAGAAATGAAATGATCCATACCCATTATGAGTGTTTGTCTGTGAATTGGAGTCACATTTCGTGATATGAATTTGCCGTAAGTTAGCTTCTGAAACAAAATCGAAAGCAGTAAAGAGAGAAAATCATCACTGGCAAAGAGTCGGCAGTAGAAAAGACTCGACCATCAGTACACTTTGTACATCCAAAATAGGCAGAGGCAACGTGATTATCGACAATAATGATGCAAAAAGTACAGCTTAATACGGTACTAGTATTATTCCTGATGTCATCTTTAAAAAGGGGATAGGTGTGATGCATACAATTATGTTTTTTCAGGGAGTTTAACTAAGGTAATATGGTAATTATTTTGTGCAGCGCCCCCTATGGAATAGTACGTAAAAATGTGACCAGCCTGTTGGGATTCCATTACGCTAAACATGTCCTGACTTGTCAGAACGACATTTGAGCTGCCTGTGTAAAAATGTGAGAAAAAAATTGAAAAATTCGCTATGGCAGAGGGACTTTTTTACCCTGGATGTCAGTCGCAGTGTAAATGAAGACAACGTCCAACCTTGGTTAGTTTGGGGGTAATGAGTATGCATAAGATGTAAATCTGTATTAAGCACAGCACCCCCCCGCGTTATGTGTCGAGCAATGCCCCCTGCACACATACACCCCGATTTTCGCATTTCCGCGGCCATCATGACTCTTGATTTTCTATTTCAGTCATATGATCCCCATTCCTCTACAGTTGTTTTCGTGTTTGTCACTATAAATTCAAATTTGGACACATAGGACCATTTTCTTTTCAATCTCGCAAGTGTCAGCCACCTCAATTTGTTCAAATCCCTCCCCTGCCCTAAACACCCTCCAAATAGTAGTCAATCCTCGGGTTCAGTTCCGAGTATAGCCGCCCGCCTCCATGGAATATAGGCCCAACAAGCTCTAGGTTTTTTGACCAGAATTCCGAATGTTGGTGGCCACAAAGTCCAAAATTTTGATTTATAGAAATAATTCTACAATCGATCCTGATTATGGCCTCTAATTCTGCAAATAACCCGGGTATGAGGTGGACACAGTATTGTAAACATTTTTTTCGTTTCCACGTATCCCCTGGGTGGCCTGGGATATCCATTTTGTATGCTCTGTACCAATTTGTTACAAACGGGCCTTTTTTCTTGTAAGTGGAACCATGGAAATGGGATCTATCGTACTTAAAACAGAGAGGGCTTATTTCAAAGTAGCAAAACATCTACGCTCAGCTGATATAGGCCTACGTTGTATTAAACAACATTCCATGTCGCTCCTTACCTTTCACCGTAGCCATACTTCCAGCAGCAGTCACGGGCGCCAACAGATTTGTTTCTTTCATCCCAGTCTGCCACCGATTTACATGCAGCCGTCGTCGATTTCGTTAAGCTGCAGTAACTTGCCGGCCTTTGGAATAAGCCCAGGTGGGTTTTAAGGTGTATTCAAAATTGTTTGAGAATACTGAGCAACGACCGCCCCCTTCAGTAGGCCTAGCTTTTGTACATCCCAGACGCTAGACTCGCGGAATGAAAATTACACACCGTTTAAGAAGTGGAATGCAATGTACAGCAATCGTCTGTTTACTTGTGTCGAACGCACAGCGAACGTATTCACTCTGTGACGATAATTTTAAACGGACCCGCGTCAATGCGCGTGGCGCACATCAAGCACTACATTCTTGATAAGTTTCGCGTTAAGTACGCAGGGACGCTCTTTTTGTTACGCATCGGGTAAAGTGGTTGTGAATAAGTAAACGCACCGTTTGCTTATTGGCCAACGTGCAGTTCATATGTGCAGCAAGACTCTTTTTGCATCTATTCTAAATGATTCAGATTAAAAGGTTTGTTTTTGTTGCACATCTGGGTGAAAATGAAGAATTCACTGCATCCAATTTTGCAGTTTTTAAGTTCGCATATTTCGTAACTTCCGTTTATAGTTTGTCAATTTTGATTTCGAAGAAATTTTTAAAGAGTGCTGTGGCGGTGTTGGGCTCTCAACAAAGACAAGGAAGTTAATCATGGCATTCAGAAATTCACACTCTTTCTGCAAATACCTTCAGGGTCAAATCAAACAACACGGTTCCTCGTATTGCATGATTGTGCGGTCCTCGTGGGCAGTTCAGGGTATTGAGGTTGATATCTGGTCAAACACGAATATCATACAAAATATTGACTAAAATATATACAGTCGGTGCTCTTAATTTATCTTATTGCCGGGAGTTTGGTATTAAACAGTGGGACACCTTCGTCAGGGCAGCCAGATTCAGTTCTGAATGAACACAGAAAAATCCACGTTCATCCACCTTGATGTAGCGTTCCAAATTCGAAGATGACGTGTTCCTCCGGTTTTTGAAGCTGTACATCGGATAACGCTTACGTCACAGAGAGTATGCGGCAAAAGTGCTGCGAGGCGGTGAGATCAGGCTTTTGTTGGCGCACACTGCGCAAGTGTTCCCTCGAAGCGCTCACCAAAGCGACGTTTGGTGTCTCCGATGTGCAGTTTGCCTCAGCGACGGCAGGTGATACAATAAATCACATTACTGGTAATGCAGGTTTGATCCCTGCGTACTCTGTAGGTACCGCGGGGGCCGGCGAGCGACGGGCTGTTAACTATATGAGGGCAGGTGTTACATCTGGGGAGCTGACAAGGGGAATTGCTGCCTGCTTGTGACGGCAAGACAGAATCTTATAACCGGGATTGCACAACCATGTCCCCGACAGAACGCTCGCGCCTAAACGAGCAGATCGGGGGTTCGGTGAAAATGGAAGCTGTGGCCGCATCATCCCCGAGTGTACGAAAATGTTTGAGAGGAACATTACCGGGATTTTTCGAGGGTGGTATGTGAGTACTAGTGGGACGTGATCACGTTGCTTGGCCCCGGTGGGTTTCAGAGCTGTTTCGCGCGGGATTGAAGATACGGCATTGAAGGCAGCGTCTGCTCCTCGATGTGACCAACAAACAGATATGCATCACTTGGTCCCGTCTGCGTGCCCATAGCCACGCCACTGGTCTGAATGTAGTGCTTACCGTTGAATGCAAAGTTGTTCAACGTGAGCACCAATCCAGCCAGACGGAGCAGAGTGCTGGTGAGAGGATCCTGAGTCTGGCGAAGATCTAGATAATGTTTGAGCGCAGCCAAACCACCTGCGCGGGGAATGGATGTGTAAATTTCACTTCCATGTTGAAGAGAAAGTTGGATGAACCTGGAAACTCAAATTCATCGAACAGACGTAGAGCGTGGTTTGAATCCTTGATATAGAGAGTTTTGGCAATGGGTGCTAGAATGGTGTCAAGGAAGTTGGATATCAATTCAGTGGGACAACCAAAAGCAGACACAACAGGGGCGACCTGGATTTCCGGATTTGTGAATTTTGGGTAGCAAGTAGAAGACTGCCGTGCGTGGGTTGGGAACAACTAGTCTGGTTGTGTTATGAGGGAGGTCACCAGAGTCAATAAAACTTCTGACAGTGCTAGCAACAATATCTTGGTGCTTTTGTGTAAGGTCGCGGTCAACCTTAGCGTAGGACGTATTAAACGTCAGACAGTTGACACCCCGCTTCAACGACATGCAAGTCCTTAGGCCAAACCACCATAGCACCACCGTTGTCCGCTCTTAATAACGATGGTATCATCGTTCTTAAGAGACCTCAGTGCTTTGCGTTCAGCCGATGGAATGTGGATGCGCTTAAGGCTTGAATTTCGTGGAATGTTTCTTTTGTTTTGAGTTTGCTTTCATCATTTTCAAGCTTGTATTTTTTTGGCAGACCTGTCTGGCCAGTGATGGATCACAGCATTAACAAGAAAGAGCAGCAGTTGCAAAGCATTTTTTGGAAAGGCTGGGGTGACCCCCAGAAGACTAATTCAACAAACAAGTAGGACATATCTTTTGCGAAAATGTATTTTAAAAAAGTTACATTTACTCTGCAGTTGAAAGCAGGCGAAATATGTGATTACAAACGAGAATGTTCTTACATCAAAAACAAAGTAGGCGAATGCCGCCCGTCGGTGCCTCCCCGTGGATCTGTAGCTTTTCATCTATCAGTTATCATGAAATATAGATTAAATATGCCTGCTAGTTCTTACACATGGAGATCACTCGGAAGAAATTGAACCAAACACGGTTGGAATCGGTGTTATTGTCGCAAGCTTGAACATTAAGATTATTGAAACAAAATCAGCCATGACCCTTTAGCTCTATGTATTCAATCTTAAAAAAAATTGCCTTGTGAGTTCTGCACCCAGCAAAATGAGTAAAAAAGACGTGGTGAGGGGAAAAAATCCAAAAGTTATGCGGTGTTGAC